CACAATGCAGGGGGCCCTCAGTCACGCTGGGCAGCCTAGGGCCCTTCAGAAGCTGTATGGGTCTGGAAGAGGTGTGGTAGGAAGAGCCCCACAGTGCCCAGGACACACACAAACACGAACACCCATAGGAACAGCCGGTCCACCACCATAGCCACGTACTTCCAGTCCTCAATGACCTGCAGGCAGACAGAGGGGCTGGTCACAGGTGCCAAGTACTGGGGTTCCTCCTTTCCCCGAGTCAGGCCCTTACTATCTGGCCAGGGACTCCACAGGCCACGCGTGGAACTGCGTACTAGGTGGGCCTCTCAGCTGGGCCGCTCTGAGCCTCTGGCTGTCCCCCACCTCCATCCTGCCTGTCCCCCACAGCACTACAGGGCCAATGGGAACTTGGGCTGTACAGAAAAGTGGGGAATTTGAGGGCTTGTTAGTGCCATATATTGTGATTTGAAAACCTAAACTGGTTATACATAGGAGATGGGGCCTAAGGATCTCAAAGCTCCATCTTCTCATTTTCACCCCAGACTCACTCTCTGAACTGGTTCTAGCTAAAGAAAGATTCGGGCCCCACCTAGTTCAGTGAGAGCAGGACAACGGGGCTTACAGAACACCTGGAAATCCTGCTGTTTAATTTGCTCAGGTCTGTTCGAGACAGCATCTGTTTCTAGTAATTAAGACCCAGCCTCCTCCTGCTGCATCATCTGGATCTCTCTCTCTGGTCTTCTTAGACCCTGCTGTGGGATGTAAGGTGGGCAGAGACCTGGATGGCCTCCAGAGGAGCCACCACAGATGGGCCTGTCTCCTTCGTGCTGGGGGAGATGGCCACTCACATCCTCTCATCCAGAGAGAGGCCCGTGTGCCCAGCATCCTGGCCTCTCTCCCCCATGCCTGCTTTCACACCCTGGCCTGGCTGGCTCACACTACATCTGTTCCCTGGCAGAGACAGACGGGATCAGAAGGCCTGGGAGATCAGCAGAGGCTCTGGAATTGGAAACGTGGGCAGCAACGGGCATGCTGACGTCAGTGACCCAGTTTGTCAGGGCCTGTCAATGATCTGTCTACAGTGCGGGATAATCCTGTGTCAAGCCAGCCCCGACACCTGAAACCAAGCATGACTGGCACCTATCCCTAAGACTCAGCGGGCACAGCACAGCTCTCCACAGAGCACTCCTTGGCTTTCTTT